AGCAGTTTCTGTCAAGAGCTCTCTCAGCCCCACCTACCTCACAGGGTGTCTGTTGTGGGGAAGGGAAGGGAAAGGAGTTTGTAAGCTGCTCAGAGACTCCTTCAGGGAGTGAAGGGCGGGGTATAAATCCAATCTCCTCCTCCTCTTCTTATTCTCCTCCTTCTTCTCCTTCTCCTCCTCCAATCTCTTCTTCTTCTTCTCCAGTTTGGTGTAGTGGTTAAGTGCGCGGACTCTAATCTGGGAGAACTGGGTTTGATTCCCCCACTCCTCCACTTGCACCTGGCTGATGTGACCTTGGGCAAGCCGTAGTTCTGATAAGAGCTGTCCTTGAAAAAGAGCCGTTTCTGTCAGAGCTCTCTCTGCCCCGCCTGCCTCACAGGGTGCCTGTTGTGGGGAGGGGAAGGGAAAGGAGTCTGTAAGCCGCTCTGAGACACCTTTGGGGAGTGAAGGGCAGGGTATAAATCCAATCTCTTCTTCTCTTCTTCTTCTTCTTGGAAGCCCATAAATAGGGCACGAAAGCTACTGCTCCCCAGCAGTTAGTAGTCAGAGGTACACTGCCTCTGAATGTGGGGGCTCTATTTAGCTGTCATGGCTATCCCAGGAGTTGTTTCCTATTTAAGCTCTTGCAAAGCACTGTGGGTGGCAGGTTTCTGCACACATACACGCCAAGAATCACAGGTCTCGGTCACACACACAATTAGCTGCGCCATAGGCACGAATGCCGGGTGGATTTAAAGGGCGCAATCAGACACAGACATCTGGGAAGTGCCCTGCAACCGTCGGCAACCTGTTTTGCTCTGCCACCAGGGGTCATTCCGTAGAAAATCCCCCCCCCCAATAGCTAGCAATCCAAAAGAGTCCCGTGGCGCCTGAGCGGTGGGTGTTGCCTTCTGTCACACTTCCGGTGATGTCCGAGGGCGTGGCATATGCAAATAAGTTATGCCAATGAGTTATTCTAATGAGCTCCTGCACCTCTTTTTCTATGAAATGACCCCTGGTTATTGCTATACTGAATGTACTGAATATATGTACCTGACGAGGATGTTATAATAGCACACCATGCACTTTATAGAATGATAGTTATAAACAGAACTCGTTAATTTACAAAAGTTTCTTGCAGGGGTCAGCACTTTTTCAAGGTCAGTCGTGCCTTGGGCAAGCCGTAGTTCTCATAAGAGCTGTCCTTGAAAACAGAACAGTTTCTGTCAGAGCTCTCTCAGCCCCACCTACCTCACAGGGTGTCTGTTGTGGGGAGGGGGAGGGAAAGGAGTTTGTAAGCCGCACTGAGACACCTCTGGATAGTGAAGGGCAGGGTATAAATCCAATCTCTTCTTTATTTTGAGCGTGTGACCGCCACCATAGCATCATAGAGTTGGAAGGGACCTCGATGGCCATCTAGTCCAACCCCCTGCACAATGCAGGAAATTCACAAATGCCTCCCGCCCACACACACCCCCAGTGACCCCTGCTCCACGCCCAGAAGATGACATAAAACATAAGAGCCGGAAGGGATCCCTAAGGGTCATCTAGTCGAACAATGCAGGAAATTCACCGCTACCTCCCCCACCACTCCACCAGGGACCCATGCTTTATGCCCAGAGGAAGGCAAAAAACCTCCAGTATCCCTAGGCCAATCAGACTTGCAGTGGCTCTCTAGGGTCTCAAGCAGAAAAAGGTCTTTCACAACATGCACTATCTGGACCTTTTAACTGGAGGTGCCAGGGATTGAATTTGGGACCTTTTGCATGCCAAGCAGATGCTCTACCACTGGGCCATAGCCCCTCTCCAAAAGCACACAGAGAAAGCTGCCTTACACTGAATCAAACCAGGGGTCATTTCCTGCAGGAGCTCACAGGAGCGGAGCTCCGACAGTAAAGAGCCCAGGGGGCGGGCACATGCAACAAGCCCCGCCCACTGCTCCCAGCAGCCCTTTTCAGTGGCGGCCCCTACCTGGTGGAATGAGCTCCCGGAGGCCCTGCGGGGCCTTTCACAGTTCCTCAGGGCCAGCAAGACGGAGCTCTTCCGCCAGGCATTTAATTAGGGGCCGCCGCTGCTATAGAGCCCTGGGCCCTTGGGTTTTAACATCGAGCTGATTACGAGCAGAAACATCTGAGAACACCAGGGCAGTGGAAATCTATTCTGACAGAAAGCCGTCTAAGTTAATTTTTAACTGCTGCCAGCACTTTATGTTTGTATTGGTTTTTTCCCTGTGGTGTTTTAAACTATTGATCACAACCTAAACATGAGCCTGCAGTGCGATGTGGCTGTGAAGAAAGCTAATGCAGCCTTAGGATGCATCAACAGAAGCCTTGTGTCCAGATCACGGGAGGTGGTCGTTCCGCTCTATTCTGCTATGGTCAGGCCTCACCTGGAGTCCTGTGTCCAGTTCTGGGCACCACATTTTAGGAAAGATGTTGACAAGCTCGAGCGTGTCCAGAAGAGGGCAACCAGGATGGTGAGAGGGTTGGCATCCAAGTCTTAGGAGGAAAGGCTGAAAGAGTTGGGTCTGTTTAGCCTGGGAAAGAGAAGGCTTAGAGGGGACATGATTGCAGTCTTCAAGTATCTGAAGGGCTGTCATGTAGAAGACGGAGCAGATCTATTCTCTCTCGCTCCGGATTGCAAGACTAGATCTAATGGGTGGAAATTACAAGGGAGTCAATACCGGCTCAATATCAGGAGAAACTTCCTAACTGTCAGAGTGGTTGAGCAGTGGAACAGTCTGCCTCGGGAGGTGGTGGATGCTCCTTCACTGGACGTTTTCAAGCGGAGGCTGGACGGCCATCTTTCTGGTATGTTGTAGGGCTCTCTTTTGGCTGTGCTTCTTCGGAGTGCAGGGGGTGGGACTAGGTGACCGGCAAGGTACCTTCCAACTCTTAACATCCTGTGATTCTATGATTCTATTGTATGATTTAAATCTGTATTTATGTTGTATGGAAGCCGCCCTGAGCCTGCTTTGCGGGGAGGGCGGGGTATAAATTCAATAATAAATAAAATAAATAAATAAACTCTCTCCACTCCGTGGAGCTGCGGTGGCTCAAGTGGTTAAGACGCTGAACTGCAGGCTGTGGAAGGTCAGTAGTTCAACAGTTCGAGACCTGAGTGCGCCGCATGATGGAGTGAGCTCCCATCTCTCGTTCCAGCTCCTGCCAGCCTAGCAGTTGGAAGCAAGTAGATAAATAGGTACCACTTTGGTGGGAAGGTGACAGCGTTCCGTGCGCCTTGGTGTTTAGTCATGCCGGCCACCTGACCACGGAAACGTCTTCGGACAGCGCTGGCTCTTCGGCTTGGAAACGGAGATGAGCACCGCAACCCTAGAGTCGGATTTGCCTGGCTTTTGAGCAAGGGAACCTTTACCTTTACCTTTTACTCCACTCTGTGCATAATTTTATAAACCTGTATCATGCCCCCCCCCTCCCCCCGGTCGTCTCTTTTCTAAACTGAAAAGCCCTGGACTCTTCAGCCTTCCCTCCAACCCCTTAAAACCCGTTCTGTTCTGGGGCAGAGCCATCGGCCGTGAGCGGGGCCCAGGGCAGTTGCCCCTGCTGGCCCCTGGCTAAGACCGACCCTGCACTCAGCTTCAAGTAGGCAAGAGGGAGAATCCTTTGCAGAGAGGCAGCCACCACCAACTTTTAACGTCGGGGCTTCTACCTCCTGTGCTTCTCTGCCCCTACAGGTGTTCCTCGGGAAGAGGCCTGACTCGGAGTTCCAGTCGCCGCCGCCACCAGGCGGCCTGTGCAAACGATCCACGCCACCCCCCGGGGAGGAGGGCCAGCAGCAAGCCCTGACCTGCCTGATCAGCGAGAAAGACCTGGTGCTCTTCGAGAAGCTGGGCGACGGCTCCTTCGGGGTGGTGCGGCGCGGGGAGTGGTGTGCGCCCTCCGGCAAGACGGTAAGGAGCAGCCTGCCTCACGAGCCCGCCAGGCCCGGGCCTCTGGGCCAGTTCCAGACGTTGCCTGGGCCCCCGTCTGTCTACCACCGAACTCCCCCCTCAAGCCCTCCTTTCACCTGCAATAGCTGCATGCCCCCTCCCTGCCTGTGCATCCTGTTTGGTGTCGTGGTCAAGAGCCAGTTTGGTGTAGTGGTTGAGTGCACGGACTCTAATCTGGGAGAACCGGGTTCGATTCCCCGCGCCTCCACTTGCAGCTGCTGGATGACCTTGGGCACGCCACAGTTCTGTCAGAGCTGTCCTTGAAAAAGAGCAGTTCTCTCAGAGCTCTCAGCCCCGCCTACCTCACAGGGTGTCTTGTTGTGGGGAGGGGAAGGGAAAGGAGATCGGAAGCCACTCTGAGACTCCAAGTGAAGGGCGGGGTCTAAAGCCAATCTCTTCTTCTTCTCTCCCTCTTGCGGTCTGAGAAAGGCCGAGAAGCCGCTTAAAAATGTAGTCTGTGTGGATCGTTACTGTTTGAGAGCCAGTTTGGTGTAGTGGTTAAGTGCACGGACTCTAATCTGGGAGAACCGGGTTTGATTCCCCACTCCTCCACTTGCACCTGGCTGGATGACCTTGGGCAAGCCATAGTTCTCTCAGAGCTGTCCTTGAAAAGAGAGCAGTTCTCTCAGAGCTCTCTCAGCCCCGCCTACCTCACAGGGTGTCTTGTTGTGGGGAGGGGAAGGGAAAGGAGATCGGAAGCCGCTCTCATACTCCAAGTGAAGGGCGGGGTCTAAATCCAATCTCCTCTTCTTCTTCTCTCCCTCTTGAGATCTGAGAAAGGCCGAGAAGCTGCTTAAAAATGTAGTCTGTGTGGATCGTTACTGTTTGAGAGCCAGTTTGGTGTAGTGGTTAAGTGCACGGACTCTAATTTGGGAGAACCGGGTTTGATTCCCCGCGCCTCCACTTGCAGCTGCTGGATGACCTTGGGCAAGCCGTAGTTCTGTCAGAGCTGTCCCTGAAAAAGAGCAGTTTCTGTCAGAGCTCTCTCAGCCCCGCCTACCTCACAGGGTGTCTTGTTGTGGGGAGGGGAAGGGAAAGGAGATCGGAAGCCGCTCTCATACTCCAAGTGAAGGGCGGGGTCTAAATCCAATCTCCTCTTCTTCTTCTCTCCCTCTTGAGATCTGAGAAAGGCCGAGAAGCTGCTTAAAAATGTAGTCTGTGTGGATCGTTACTGTTTGCAAAGCACCCGAGGAAAACCCTGCAGATGTGCAACAGGATCTAACCTGATCTGTCCTCCTGTGCCCCCCCCCCGACTTTTCCCCCTCGCCAGCTCAACGTGGCCGTGAAGTGTCTCAAGACTGACGTGCTGAGCCAGCCGGAAGCCCTGGACGACTTCATCCGGGAGGTCAACGCCATGCATTCCCTGGACCACAGGAACCTCATCCGCCTGTATGGGGTGGTGCTTTCGAACCCCATGAAGATGGTGAGGCCCGAGCTCGGTGCCAGGAAGACGGCCTTAATCGCT